TGAGGGTGAAAGTTCGAGTACAACAAATCCAAAGTCGTGGATCATCTGAAATTCGGAATCCATTTCTGAGTTCTTGAAATTGGCCGTGAAGCAGAATCATACCTTCATTCTGTTGGAATGCTTCATTGGTTTGCCATCGTGGAACCATTCGATCTTCAGGCTTGGATCCAAAACTGGAGTGATCTGTGCCTCCAGATGAGCCATCTGGCCCTTCGAGAAGCTCGGGAGGTGGCTAAAAGAGCAGCAATGTGTTTGGATAAAAGGTGGCCATCTGATCGGTAACTCACCGCAAGTTGAGTGGTGAATTTCGGTGGTCCGTAGTCGACTTCAGGTCCTTCTTCTGGAGCTGGTCGAGGTGCTTCGATCTCGCCAATTCTCGCCTGAGCTCCCTCGGCCATTTTACCTGGCAGTTGTGATTCGCGAATGATTCGTTCCTTGGGATTACACGTGAGTCGAGTGCTGGTCACAGCTTCGCCCACCTGAAACGTTCAATGCATTACTGGGAAGGTGCTTGGGTACTGGTGAAGAAAGGCTACATAGTTTCTTTGGTGGCGTTTCTTGGCTCATATGGCCCTGGTAGGAGTCTACCGTAATCCCATGCCTACCCGTTCGTTAGTTTTCATCTCAGTTCAAACATTCCACTCCTTCAGTAAAATCATTATGGAGGAGAATAGGAGGGGGATTTCAATAAAATCTTGTAAAAAAAGGCATAGGTCCCCCCGCCCCACCCGAACTCCCCTTAAACTCAAAAATCCTGGTTTCACTTCATACGATCCCAGCCCTTCCGAAAAATCTTACCCGCTTGGAGAGGACTACCCAACCGATGGACTGGGTAACCTCGTACGGGCTATGAACGTACCAGGTTCCTTGCACGGCATGAGTACTCTCCACTGTCTTCTGGGTAGACAGGGCTGATCTCGAGTACCACGAAACCGAAATCGTTGAGGGTCTTCACACGAGATCCGGTCTTCAGTGGGCGACCATCATGGAACCATTGTACCTGAAATCCATATGTATTGAGATGAGGAGAAACGAGTTCTCGGAGCTCCTATCACTTTGTTGCGTCAATTTCTAGTGAAGGTACCTGTAGTTTGTTGTCATTAAGTGGCTCATATCTGGCAGTGAAGTGAGCTCGGTCTCCCTCATCACACTCGACAGGAGCTGATAGAGGCTCGATGAACACCGGCATGGCTTCCTAAATCACAGAGATACAGGGGAGTTCAAACTCAGCGCTTCTGGTTAGGAGCTTACCTTGACTTCCACAACAGCTTCTTCTGGTTTGCGGTGCAGGATCTCCTCAAGATCTGAGACGGCCTTAGCCTTCTGCTCATTCTAAAATTTACTACTTGAAATTCAGAAAAGAAAATGTAATTTTCGTTCCGCCCTTTGTTGCAACCTAACAAGCCCTTCTTCTCAGCCGATTACCTGAGGATGAAGGATGAGGCCACTGCTTGGCGCAACCTTGATTGGTGCAGAAGAGACTGCTTCACCGGCTTGGTTGGAGATTCTAAAGGGTATAAATTATCATTAAGGGCGTGGCTCCCCATTCAGGAACACTTGCCGTGCCGAAGTTGTTAAAACCTAAATTTACCTGCAAGTGTACTCTCCAGTGTCGTGAGCGAGAAGATGGATAATGTCCAGTACGGCAAAGCCGAAATCGTGCACCATACGGTAGCGGTTGGAGTGGAAGATTGGTTGTCCGTCCCGAAGCCATTCGACCTGATTGAAGTAAGGAATCAGGAAGCTGGATCTGTTGCCCTAATACGGTATCCCGGCATAAGGCCTCCTAGTTAAGCGGCCAAAACCCATAGATCTCACAATCAAAGATGGGTAAGCGGTGACCCATCATGGGTAAAGCTCACCCAATACTTTCCAACAGCTCTAAGAGTCAGCTAGCTCCTCTCCTATCTGGTTTTTATGTGAGAAAGAAATACCTTCAAGTTTGGATCGTCGATAGGAGTGAATTGAGCTTGAAGATGGGCACTGCCAGCTTCCTCGAGCGCTCCCTGCACAGTGAGAGGTGCAGTGAATTGTGGCGCTGGGTAGACTGGCGCCGGAGCCTCGGGTGCAGCCGGTTTGTCGGCTTCGATCTCCCGGATACGATCGAGTGACTGCGGATTCAACGTGTCGCGTACTGCAAGAACTCCCATAAAGGCGGTCTATGAAGGCTATGAAAATGGTGGGTAACCACGCCTACG